AAAAGAAGAAAAACAACACACACTATACCCAATTTCACCTGTAGCACTTGTGGAAATGCCATTGATGGAAGATTTAGAAATGTGGGGCTGATTTCAAACCTCCATTTTTACCGATCTACTGAGAGTCTTGTGTATACCAACTGATGCTTCCTCGGTCTTAAATGTCCTCCTCCCTGTCATCCTTATCTGGTTAACTCCTATTCAACCTTCAAAGCCTCTCCAAGATGCCACCGTGACCCTGACCTATTTCCCTCTCTTCGTTCCAGCTCTTACAAATCAACTCCTCAACCCTAGCCCACTCCAGGCTCTCATTCCTATTTGGGTTTCTTGCCTCCTCTAAATGATCCTATACTCTCTCTTTTGCTTATCTCCATCGCAGTGCTTTATATGATAAAATTCAATATGGTAATAAAATACAGTAATCATTCCTTTTGTTTTCCCCACTAAATGAATGGCCTTTTGGAAAATGCTAGTCGTAGGGCCTGGCACTTAAGAGTCACTCAAAAAATGATCATTGGATGAACAAAGAAATGAATGAAAAAAATGAACGGATGACTAGGGAACTCTCCTGGAACCTTTCCATTATACCTGCAGATTATAGGCAACCTCTGGAAAGAGCATAGTGGATGGTAGCAAATGTAAAAGGTAAGACTTGGGAACAAATGTTTCGTGATCTTAAAGCTCCATTGCATGAACCCCAGACACTCTGATACCTGTAATTCCATTGTACATCTAGTCCACGTATCCAAAGTTTGAATTTATGTTATAATTTTGAAGTCAGGAATCATTTTAGTTTAGTTCAAAAAATAACTTTTGGGAGCCTATGAAGTGAACGTTTCAGTAACCACTATTCTCTCTATTACATTTTTGGTCAACAAGATTTGAGAAACATGGTGCTCTCAGTTAAAATGTCAAAAGAAGAGTGCTTTGTCAAATCTTTTTACCCCTTCCCTTCTGTTATTTTTGTGATTCTTTTTCTGTTCTATTACTTTAATTTCTCTGAGTCATTTTTATAATGTTTCCTTATAATTTTAAGCTGAAATGTTAACACTCCCCCCCATTATTTCATGTTCTTTTTACGTACCATATTCTGAAACTAGTAAAAGTTGTTAAATGGGTGAAGTGAGCACAGGAGAGATTGGTTGGCAAGAATCTCACAGGCCCGGGCAGGTGGGGGATGGTGTGGGGGGTGTGGAGGGGGGAGGCTTTGCTGGGAAGAAGGAAAAGTGCAAAGGCTGTTGAACAATCAGGGATTGAGCAAAGAAAAGTGGATCGATTTAGACTTTGGCTCAAGCCCTAGCAATCAAAGGCCAAAAATGAAGACTCTACTAAATTGTGTGTGGGGAACTTACTTTTGGGAACTTTTGGGAACTTACTTCTAGCTAAGAATAATTTCACCAATCCTTAATAATTCAGTTCTAGGTGAACATTACATGCAGGCAGAAGAGTAGCTTGTTTATTTTCCGGATATGCCTACACTTAAAATAAACAAGGCTTGCTTTGGCAGACCTCTCCCTCTCATGACATTCCGGGGGCATCTCCTCTGACCCTTCTTATGGGGCTCACCGGCGTGCTTCCCCATCGGATCTCCCCTCCCCAGGAATACCCCAGGTCCCAGACTTGCTTAGTCCAGTTCTTCACCCTCATCATCCCATTCTACCTTTCCTGACTTAAAATGGCTACAGAGGAGCTATCAGCTTACAATAATTCACAGCGAATTGCAGTGAATAATACTAGCTTTAACTCTTCTAAAGTATTTAGAGTATTTGTCATTCCACATTAACCTCAGGTTTGTTGAATCTGGTGATATTGACGCGTAAAACATTTTTGAAGAGAGGATATTGAAAGTGGTTGGGTCATTGCACAACTTTAAATCACACCATATAGGCAAACACCACAGAACTATCTCTGAAAATGTGGGGTTTGGGTGAAGGGAGAAGGAGAATTCTTATTTATGATATTGGAATTGGAACATAGAATTTGGGATTAAAAACCACTACCTCAGGTTTTCTGGATTAGATAACTGTGTATTACATTCACATATATCCTCATAAAATACATTTTATAATTAATTTTTATGATTTATAATATCAATTATTGTTTCCATTTGGGGTTAACTGAAAATTTGAAACCATCTTATACTTGAAACAATAAATAAAAACTTTTTCTTCCTTTTTCTGATAGAAGAGCATCTCTCTAGTTTTGATCTATGATATATTTTAAGTCCGGGGGCGCCTGGGTGGCTCAGTCCTTAAGCGTCTCCCTTCGGCTCAGGTCATGGTCCCAGGGTCCTGGGATCGAGCCCCACATCGGCTCCCTGCTCGGCGGGGAGGTCTGTTTCTCCCTCTCCCACTACCCCTGCTGTGTTCCCTCTCTCGCTGTGTCTCTCTCTGTCAAATAAATAAATAAAAATTTTAAAAAACATATATATTTTAAGTCCAAAAGAACTTTTTTGCCCTTTTAACATCCAGAATTAGATAACACGTATATCTCTCCACACAAAAAGAGCCAGTATGTACTTGGACATGTTTCAGTAGGTTTTAATTTATTCACAGGAATTTCTGGGTTTTCTCTGTTTGTCAAATAAATAAATTTAAGCCAGGAATTTCTGGGCTATGGCTAATTTCAAAGAGCATGTGGTATGTTTGAGGGACTGTTACTCTCAACTTTGTCCTCTAAATCTGACCAGATTCTTAGCAGCCTAGGGGGACTCTTGCAAACATGATGTTTTATAAGGAAGCAACTCATGTTTCTATACAAATGGAATGGGAATGCAGAGAACCCATCGCATTGAAAAGGTACTAGTTGGTCTCCGAGAGACTTGGGCCAATAAATTCTTCCTATCGGCTGTTATGCCTATTTAGTGGTGAGTAACATTTTTTGAGGGATGTTCACTTTAAACAGAGCAGAGGCCATTTATGAAATGCTACAACGTCAAGCCTGGTTGAATAAAGCAGATTGTGAAAATATTCAAACCAGTATTCAACCAGAAGAAACTGATAACACATTTAAACACATTTTGATGAAATATAAAATACAGATGAAATGAGTCAGCTGGATCAATTATGTAAGGAGTTTAAATGGTTATGATTTAATTTTTATTACATAATTTGTAGCACCCAATTTTAATACTTCAAATTCCACTTTGTAAGCACTTAAACGGTTTAATTAAACTTGGCCTCAATTCTTGAGTTTTAAACATGAACTAGAAATAAATCTTCCTTACATGACAAATGATATCTACATAAAGCCTCAGCAAACAATATGTAAAATTTTGAGACACTGAAACTATTCCTGTTAAAGAAAAGACAAAAAACACTTACAGAAAGAAAAAGATGTTTGTGGGGCACCTGGATGGCTCAGTTGGTTAGGTGTCTGCCTTTGGCTCAGGTCATGATCCCAAGGTCCTGGGACTGAGTCCCGCATAGGGCTCCCTGCTCAGCGGGGAGCCTGCTTTTCCCTCTGCCACCCCTCCCCCCTTGTGCTCTCTCTCTCTCTGTTTGTCAAATAAATAAATAAAATCTAAAAAAAAAAAGAAAAAGATGTTTGCTACAAGTGGTAACATTAACAGGGTTCTGGAACTCTTTGCCAATACAGTAATATTTTACTTTTGAATATGAACTGTAATATTTATGTGTGCAGGGAAATGATGGAATACCTAGTTTAAAAGGTGGCTGGATATAAGGTTTCCAAGCTAAAAATCAAGCAGTAGCACATTAGAATGCAAAACTGAAAAAAGGCTCTATCCTAGAAAAAAATTAAATGCATTTGAACAAACCTTGAAGGATATAATTAAACAGATATCTACTTTTATTTTGTAGATTGAGAGATGCTCAAGGAGAGAGATTTTATGTTATTTGCTAACATTTCTCAATGCTTAGCGGCTGACATAAAGTAAGCCTTCAATCAAAACTTGTTGACTTAGTGAAAAGTTTTGGAAATTTAAGAATGGTAGGTAACTAACCGATTTGGTTTAAAAAATGTCAGTCAAATATTATCACATAACTAGTTACCTATCATGAATTAGAAACCACATTTCCTCCAAAGAAACTTTTTAATCTATTGAGAAGTAGTGTTAGAATTAAATTTAATATAAATCTAGTAATTGTCTTACTGATACCAGAAAGAAAACTTATACATGCATATTTGCTACTCCTAAAGAATGCTCTTCTAGAATAACTTAGATGTTACAAACATTGCATGTTCAATTTTTTCAAATTTATGTGATATTTTCATTCTAATGATACAAGTAGTGCTTGCTTCTCGACAAGACTTCTAAGACTGTGGCAATATCATTTGTAAACGATAAATGGAATTTTCTTTAGAGAGAGGTAACATCTATATCTGAAATAAATTCAATCATTAGATGATTTGAAGGCTTCTATTCTGTAATTTCTGTTCTGGTTCTATACATGTTCATATGCTTCTTAATACTTTCACACAAAACATTTTGGTGAAAATTCTAAGCAAAAAAATAGATTATGATAATTTCAAGGGAAATTATTACGATATATTACAGTTTTCAAAATGTTTATTAAAACATTTTTTGAGGGGCACCTGGGTGGCTCAGATGGTTAAGCGTCTGCCTTTGGCTTAGGTCATGAGATCCAGGTCCTGGGATGGAGCCCCAGGGGGTGGGGGTGGGGTTGGGGAGGGGTGCTCCAGCTCAGCAGGGAGTCTGCTTCTCCGTCTCCCTCTGCCTCTCCCCTGCTTGTGCTCTCTCTCTCTCTCTGTTTCTCTCTCAAATGAATAAATAAAATCTTTAAAAAACCCCATTTTTAAAATTTTTACGTTAAATAAAACCATGATAAATAATCATATCATTTAAATAAGATACTTACATTTTTAAAAACTTAACAATGTCAAAAACCACTCACACACGAAGCTACAGAACAGTAATTAAATCACATTTTCTAGACCAAATTCCTATTACCACTGCGAAAAGCATATTAACAAATGTTTTATAATATAGAAAAAAGTCTTCCTTTTTTTACTCTTACCTTCAGCCATACAAACAGTCCACAATATAAGCCAAACGATTTCCCCTGGAAATCTCATTTTGAGGGTCTTTTAGGAGTACATTTAACAGCTGACAGCGCTCACACTATGTCAAGTTCTCTTCCTCTAAAAATTGTGATTAGTGCAGGAAAGCACTTGCTCAAAAGGAAATTGAAACACAGCTCGGGAATTAAAGGGAGTACTAGATGCTCCGCCCATCAGAAACTTTTGCAAAGTAAAAGGGAAAAATCAACCTCAAGTCCCAGCATTGCCAGAGTTTGGATCTGATTCTCCCTGCATTCCCACTGAATGTTAATGCTGTGACCTGCTTTTGATTTGTTTTTATAAACTCAGGCATGTCCGCCGCTGGAGCACGTTCAAGTTCTTGGAATGTGCAAAGCAGTAACTGGTGATATCCTTTGGATTTCATAAACCCTCAAAAGAGAAAATAATAGAAGCTCTTTTAAAAATCATTTACAGAAGTTGAAGTGAGTCAATGCTTTCACAAACAAGACCCAGACAATGTGAGTAAACCTTGCCAAGAATGTAGTGCTGGCTTGCTTTTCCCACAGTCCAGGAAATTATTCCTTTAAGGGATTGTTATATACGTGTGTGAAGCAACAGGATCACTCTCCTTGGTCATAAATGCGTTTAGTAATTCAAAAATCAAGAAATTTGAACACTGAGTTTTTAAACTTTATATTGAAATTTAATATGCATAAAGAGCATATAAGCAAATGGGTTGATGACTATTGAGAAGGTGGAGACAGGTATCCAACCCGCGCCAAGCTGAGGACATTGAACAGCACTATCTCTCTGGGAAGCCCCAGTTGTCCCTTTCGGTCAGCCCCTCCCAACCTCTCCCTCACCACACAGAGGGGGACCACTGTCCTGATCTCTAAGAACATGGAATCCATTTGTCTGTTTTGTACTTTACATAAATTGAAAGATATTTATTTTTTACTGTGTAGAGCCTTTCACTAAAAATTATGTGTGTTATTCAACCGCACTGTTGGGTTTAATTACAGATTACTAATTCTTACTGCTGTGTAATATTCAATTATGTGAATATACCACATTTTTATTGTGTGCCTGTTAGTGGGCATCTGAGTAGATTCTAGTTAGGAGGTAATAGAAATAGGGCTGCTGTTATGAGGTTTTTGACAAAGACATGTCCTCATTTCTGAGGAGTACATACCTAGGGGTGGAATGGTAGGACCGAATGGATGAATATGTTTATGTGTAACGTGGTAGCATCAGAGAGTTTTCTGAAAGGATTAAGCTAATTGGTGTTCCCATCAGTGTGTAAATTGCTCCAAATCCTCAACACACTTGATGTTTTCAATCTGTGTAATTTTAGCCATTCTATTGAACACAGAGCAGTAATTCTCTGGGGTTTTAATCTGCATTTTCTTGAGGACAAATGAAGTTGAGCGACTTTCACGTAGCGATTGGTCATTTAGATGTCCTCTTTGGTGAATTGTCCATTCAAGTCTTTTGCGTGTATATATATTTTCTATTGAGCTATCTGTCTTCTACTTATCTCATTGTAGGAATTCTTTTTATATTCTTTAGATAATCTTGGACATATTTATTGTAAACATCTTCTCTCAGTCCGTGGGTTGTCATTTTGCCTAGTGTTTTTTAATGGGCAGAATTTCTGCATTTTAAATTGAACAATTAAATGTTTTGTTTACATAATTATGCGTGACTCTCATTTTTTCAAACATATTCTTGAAGAGTCCAACTGACAAAGGTAACCTGCTTTAGAAGCTGGACACTTTTCAAGAGGGTTCAAATCACAAATTCATGCTGAATTCAGTGACACGTTTAAACAGAAAAGAATCCTGGGTCACCAAGTCCCCTTGCATGTTTATTGCTCTAGCTACAACAGAATCCATCCTTATAAATGTCACAGGATATAACAATTGCAGTGGAAAAAAAGAAAATGTTTGGAGCTTAAGAAGAAAAGACATTTTTTCAATTTTTTTTTTCTACTTGGGTTAGTGCATTTTGTGTCCTATTTAAGGATTCCTTGCCTACTCCTAGGACACAATGATGCTTTCCTCTAAAAGCATTATTTTGTCTTTCACATTTAAGACTGCATTTGACTTTTGTGTATGGTATAATAAAGGGCAACAGATACATTTTTTAAAATATGGCAATCCAACTGTTCTGGCACTGTTTACTGAAAATACCATCTCTTTCCTACCGTACTGCTCTACTCTGACTTTTGTCATAAATCATGCAACTGGATATATGTGAGTCCATCTCCTAATCTCTTCTACTAAGCTTAGTGAATTCACACTGAAATGGCTACAAGTCCCACTTTAGTTTTTAAAATAAAATATCTGAGGAAGTGTCAATTTCTGGGAACTTGGGGTTTTCTAGTTATCTTTTAAATTGATTTCTTATAAAGACAAACACCATATGATTTCATTTATATGAGGAATTTAAGAAATGTAACAGATGAACATAGGGGGAGAAAAGAGAGAGGAAAACTCTAAAACAGACTTGTAACTATAGAGAACAAACTGAGAGTGGCTGGAGGGGCAGTGGGTAGGTGGATGGGTTAAATGGGTGACGAGTATGAAGGAGGGCACTTGTGATGAGCACTGGGTGTTGTATGTAAGTGATGAACCACGAAATCCTACACCTGAAACTAATATTACATGGTATGTTAACTAGCATTGAAATAAGAACTTGGAAGAAAAAAATTTCAAAAAAGTTGTTTTCTTGTTTAATTTTATTGTGATCTAAAGATGTACTCTCAATAATTTTATGCTTTGAAAATTTGATGAAATTAGTATCCAAAATACATAAAGAACTTATCAAACTCAACACCCCAAAAAGGAATAATTCAATTTAAAAATAGGCAGAAGGCATGTATAGACATTTTTCTGAGGAAGACATGTAGATGGCCGACAGACACATGAAAAGATGCTTAACACCATGATCAGGGAAATACAAATCAAAACAATGAGATATCACCTCACACCTGTCAGAATGACTAAAACCAACAACACAAGAAACAACTGGTGTTGACATGGATGCAGAGAAAAGGGGAACCCTTTTGCACTGGTGGTGGGAATGTAAAGTGGTATAACCACTCTGGAAAACAGTATAGAGGTTCCTCAAAAAGTTAAAAATAGAACTACCCTATGATCCAGCAACTGTACTACTAGGTATTTACCTGAAGAATGCAAAAATACTAATTCAAAGGGTTACATATGCCCCAGGATTTATAGCAGCATTATCAACGATAGCCAAATTATGGAAACAGCCCAAATGTCCATTGATTGAGGAATGGATAAAGAAAAGGTGGTGTATATATACAAAGGAATATTGCTCAGCTGTTGGCTGAGTTGGCTGAGAATGAAATCTTGCCAACTGCAATGACATGGATGGAGCTAGAGAATAATGCTAAGTGTAATAAATCAGTCAGAGAAAGACAAATACCATATGATTTCACTCATATGTGGAATTTAAGAAACAAAACAAACAAGCAAAGGGGAAAAAAAAGAGGGAGAGAAGCAAACCAAGAAACAGACTCTTAACTATAGAGAACAAACTGATGGTTACCAAGGGGGAGGTGGGTGGAGGGATGGGTTAAATAAGCGAGGGGGATTAAGAAGTGCACTTGTGATGAGCACCGGGTGTTGTATGGAAGTATTGATTACTATATTCCACACTTGAAACTAATATTACACTGTATGCTAACTGGTATGTAAATAAAAATTTATAAAAGTAATGAAAAAAAGTGATGAGATTTTCTTTATGGCCCATTATATGCTCATTATTCTACCCATGTCACGTAGGTCAAATTTATGATTCTATTGTTCAAATCTTTTATATTTTTACTATGTCTTAATCTGCTTATTCTATTAGATATTGGAAGGATGTGTTAAATATTCTATTGTGATTGTGGATTTGTCTATTTTTTGGCTTATATCAATCTTTTAAAATATATTTTAAAAGCTATGATGATGCTTACATACATACTGAGAATTGTTATATCCTTCTTTTGCATTGGTCACTTTATCATAAAATGTCCCTCCTGACCTTTAATTTTGCTTCCAGTATGGTTTTCCATCTGTTTTATTTCTTTTCTTTTTGTTTGTGTTTCCAAAAAATTTGATACACAAAACCAAACTTGTCTTTTGTTTTGAGAAAAATAAGAAATAAAAGAGTATATGTGAAAAATCAAGCAAATATGAATTTTCAGCTATCATTCTGAAGTTGAATTTTAACTGGTGGCACACAAATTAATGGCATAGATACCTCTTTATTTTTTCCTTGGTTTTATGTTTCTGACTACGAATCTAAATATCTTGCTTTATTTAGAATTCTAATAGTAGTTCTTGCCTAATAACAATACTTAGGGAGTATTCTAACTAACTAGTCATTAACACTTAGGGAGTACGCTAGAATGTTATCATGATTAACACTAGTGAATTCCAACTGTATACCAAACACAGACCTATGCACATTTGGCAACACTGTACTTATAACAATATAATTAAATAGGAGACTATTACTATCTTCAATGTATAGATGAGTGAACTGAACTGCAGAACATTAAAGCAACTTTGTCAAGGTCACAAGATTTCAATAGGACCAGGTATCAAACCTGAGATGATCTCCTGAATCTCACTTTTTAACTTACACAGATCTGCCTCTCAAATGATTTGCTTCTGATGCTACTAAGTTTACATAAATTTAGCTGTGAATAAATAATTCCTTTATATAATTAAAAATACTATAAAATATTTACATATGTATTCTAATAGATGCTTCATAGTTACCTATGTATTTTGTAGTTATACATGCATATTACTATAAAGATTTTTAATATATACACACATTTATGAGGAATTTAAAGTATGCCTAGGGGTGAATTTACTATACAATTTTTATTTTACCTGCAATTGTTGAATGTCAGATGCCACTCCATTATTGAAGTGAAAATAATTGAATTAATTTCAACAATATCTTTCAGAAGCATCATTTTTACTGCTTTTTTTTCCTCTTCAATGTGATTTCAAAGATCAATAGATAAGGCATTAATTGGAGTGCCTGGGTGGTGCAGTTGGTTAAGTATCTGACTTGGTTTCGGTTCAGACTGTGGTCTCAGCGTGGTGAAATGGAGCCCAGCGTCAGGCTATGAGCTCAGAGTGGAGTCTGCTTAAG